GACATGATGCTGGAGAAGGAGCTGAGAGTTCTACATCTTGATCCACAGTCAACAGGAAGTGAACTATGTTATTGGGTGTAGCTTGACCATAGGAGACTTCAAAGCCCCACAGTGACACATTTCCTCCAACAAGGTCACACCTACTCCCAACAAAGCCACACCTCTAAATAGTGCCACTCCCTTTGGGGGCCATTTTCTTTCAAACCATAACACCTGTTAATTTTTAAAAATAACCACATCACATATTTATATAAATGTTATGTCTTTGTAAAAAATATCTTCCAAGTGAAGAATGGAAGAGGATTTAAATGCTCTTTTCTATATTTATGGACATTTTTCCTGTGATGCTATATCAAAACTCAGTAAGTGCTAATTTCTGAACTGTTGTTCAGAGTGAAATATGAACTCTTATTACATATCTTTTTATGCTGTTAGATTAAAATCCATCATCAGGCCGGTGAGATGGCTCAGTGGGGAAGGGTGCTGGCTGCAGAGCCTAATGTTCTGAGTCTAAAGCCGGAACCAGAAGGTGAAAGGAGAGGACCAATTCCCAAAGATGTCAAGGTAACAATTGACATCTGTGCTGCAACACACACACACACACACACACACACACACACACACCCTATTGTGTACTTTGCCTTGTGAACTTGGTCAAATCCCATTCAGGATGTGTAGTGATATATTATTTGTGGTTTATTAAAGCTTACCTGAAGATTCAGAAAGCAAAGTCAGTTACAAGCCACAGAAGCCAGGCACACACCTTTAATCCACACAGCCAGAAGCTAGGAGGTAGTGGTATATACCTTCAATCCTAGGACTCAGGATTAAGAGATAAAATGGATCTCTGGGAGTCCAAGGCCACCCAGATCTACACAAGATTGAATCAGTCTAAAAGAGAATCATAGCTCACACTTTTAATTCCAGCACTAGCAGGGTATAAAATACAGACGCAAGGATTCAGTAGGAGACATTTGTTCTCCAGCCACACTGGGGAGAGGCAGCAGTTTGAGACTTGGTGAAGAGATCAGCCCTTTCAGCCTGAGCTAGAGGTGAAAGCTAGCTGCTTTGGCTTTCTGATCTTCAGATTGAACCCCAATATCTGTCTCTAGGTCTTTTATTAATTTGTGTTACAAGGATGTTTTCATGTCATGCCCTGCTCATGTCAGTTATTGAGTTGTTCAGACTTTCCAGATAGTGACACATTTATAATGCAGTATCGTGTGTCTAGAATGATGGTTAAATGGTTAAGGGCATGTCCTGCTCTTCCAGAGAACCTGAGTTTGATTCCCAGCATCCACTTCAGGCAACTCACAGTCACCTGTAACTCCAGCTCCTGAAGATCTAATGCATCTGACCTCCTGCACACATGAGTATATACCCCTGCCACATACACATACTTTAAAAATAATCAAATACATCTTTAAAGAAAGAATTGCATTCATTAACCTTATCATCAGCTTCAGCTCACAGGTCTTGTAAGCTGTCAGATTCCCAGTGGTGGATTTGGATGTTCCAGAATTTTGTTATCACTGAGACGTATCAACAGCTATTTTCCTTAAAGGCGTGCTTCACTCATTTGAAAGAAAATGCCTGCTATATATGCAAGTGTGAAGAATGGTAGTTTATATGTCCATAATTCTTTCAAGAAAAAATTGTTACTCATTAAAAATACTTGTAGTACTTGCTGGGTGATGGTGCTGTACACTTTTAATCCCAGCTTTTGGGAGGCAGAAGCAGGCAAGATTTCTGTGAGTTTAAGGCCAGCCTGGTCTACAGAGCAAGTTCCAGGACAGCCAAGACTACATAGAGAAACCTTGTCCAGAAAAAACAAACAAATCAAGAATAAAAACAAAACCTCCCAGTTCTAGTCAAAATATATATAAATATGATTATATGAATAAAATTCATCAGCATAAGCATCTTCCTTCACTAACAGAAAGGTCACACACCAACATGTGTAGACAGAGTTTCTGTCCCACCTGGTCCCACAGCTGTTTGGCCCCAAATAAATATGCAGAGACTTATATTAATTATAAATTGTTTGGCCAATGGCTCAGAACAGGAACAGAGAGAGTGGGTCACAGGGGAGATACCATGTAGCCACTGAAGGCATAACATGCCAGAGCATTACGGGTAAGCCACAGCCTCATGGCAATACATAGTTTAATAAAAATGGGTTAATAATTAAGAAAGAGCTAGCCAATAAGAAGCCTGAGTCAGGGATGGAGAGATGGCTCAGCCATCACAACCAAAAATATAATAAGCCTGAGACTTGAAGCCTTTGGCCAAACAGTTTATAATTAATATAAGCCTCTGTGTGTTTATTTGGGACTAAGGGGCTGCAGGACCAGGCAGGACAGAAAAATCCATCTACAAACACAAGCATTAACATTGTAAAAATGCAAGAATTGCCTTAATATTGTTGTAGAAAGACTTTGACCCAAGCAAATCCACTGAAAGGGACTGGAACTACTAAGGGTCAATGGACATTTGTGTGTATGCCTATGTGTTATGTGTGCACATGAACTCATTCATGTGTATATAGGAGCACAACTCTGTGTGCATATGTATATGTGTGTGTGTGTTTGTGTGTATGTATGTATAGGTCAGAAAACAACCTGTGCAATCATTTTTCAGGCACTTTCCACTTTATTTTATGAAAGAGGGTCTATCATAAAATAGACCCTCTAAATAGGCTAGGCTGGTCAGTACTTCTCAGAAATCTGCCCATCTTCAGCCCCCAGTGCTGGGATGACAAACATGCACTACAATGCCAGCTTATTTATTTATTAGTATTATGCACGCACATGTACCCCTGTGTGTAATGTGTACCTAGGTATCATAAGCTATGGTGTGTATGTAGGATAGGGGAATAGCTTTTTAAAGTTGCTTGTCTCTTTGAGGGCTGTGGCTCAGGCTGTAACTCAATGCCAGTGTACTTTGGCTACTATGCACAAGGTCCTGGATTTCATCCCTTACACTGAAAATGAAATAAAGCAAAACTTTTGGTTCAGATTCTTTATATTTCCTTAGTCTCTCTCTCTCTCTCTCTCTCTCTGTGTGTGTGTGTGTGTGTGTGTGTGTGTGTGTATGTGTTTGAGCACACATGTCAATTTGTTTACATGTACATTGGGGTAAAGAATTAATGTCCCCCTTTTTAAAATTTGCTTATTTTTTGTTTGTTTGTTTTGAGACAGTGTTGTAGACTGAAATTTCTGTCCCTGCCAGTCCAGCAGCCATTTAGTTCCAAATAAACACACAGAGGCTTCTATTAATATAAACTATTTGGTATATGGCTCAGGCTTCTTATTGGCTAGCTCTCTCTTAATTACTGACCCATTTCTATTAATCTGTGTATCGCCACATGGTCTTGGCTTACTGATGATGTTCAGACCTCTTTCTCCCTTACCAGCTACATGGTATCTCACTGGCAACTGTCTTCCTTTCCCAGAGTTCCTCTAGTCTGGTAGCTCTGCCTATACTTCTGACTGACTACATCCTGCCTGTCCATTGACTAAAACAGCTTTACCTATCAAACAACAAGAGAAACATATATTCACAGCACACAGAAGGACATCCCCCATCAGTATCTCACTAGCTCAGAAAGCTTCACCTACATCGAGATTGAGTACTGGGATTAAAGGTTACACCATCACCCATGGCACAATGCCCCTGCTTTTCAAATGCCACGGGGCTTTTTTCCTTTTTCCTTAAGGGTTTATTTATTTTATTTTATGTGTATGAGTGTTTGTTTGCTTGTATGTATGTGTGTCCTATGTGTGTGTACTGGTGCCTGTGGAGGCCAGGGACATTCCCTGAAAATGGAGTTGCAGCCAGTTGTGAGCCACTATGTGAACCCTGGGAAGCAAAGCAGGCTCTCTGCAAGGGTAGCCAATGCTCTTAATGTCTGAACTATCTCTTTTCAGTAGAAAGTTCAGTAGAGCCACTGGAGAGACTCCTTCTAGGTGTCAGGAAACAGGCATCCTAATGCCACACCTCAGCCTTGTCTGAGAACAAGGCAAATAGCCATCTATCTCTTTAAGCAAAGACACTGAGCTCATCTGGAGGAGAAAAACAGTAGGCCAGACTGTTAGTTATGCGCCTCACTTGGGACGCTTGTGCACAACACCCACTGGAAACCAAGATGCGGCTCGGGGTCTCAAAATCACCTCGGTGGGGGGGGTGGGCGGGGGTATTGGAAGAAGGCTTTAGGAAAGTTTACTAGTTAACTGGATTCCCCCCATGGACAATTGGTAAAGAATGACTGGACCTTGGACAGCCACCAAGCTGCATGCTGGGGTAAGCAGCAGCACCGTGGACAGCGCCAAGCAAGCCTCTCCGTGAGCAGGGGCGGGGAGAGGCGGCTTCATCAGCTGATGCCTTACGTAGCGCTGGATTCCCACTTTGCTAAGGCAGGTCCGGGTGGGCACACCAGCGTACATTTTCGGAGTAGCAGACCCGGGCATGGTAGAGAGAGGCCAGGTCAAGGCAGAAGACCATCTCTAGAAAGCAGGTACCTGCGTGGCTTCCCCAGCATCCGGCTGTTCCCCAGGGTGCTACTGCCTGGAGAACAGAGTTGGGGGCGGGTAGGGAGCAACCCTGAACCAGCGATTGTTCCAACGCACCAGCCGGGTTCCAGGCATTCACCCTGCACGGAGCCGATCCCAAAGATGCTCTGCTGCGGGCGACCAGACAGCGATCTCCGCCAAGGTGAGGAAACGCAGGCATGTGATACCTTAGGCGAGCCCTGGCTTCTAGACTCAGCCCCTTGAGTCCGCTTTCCAAATCTGTAAGGATACCGAGACTGTGAGGCTTGCAGCCTAGCACCCTCCCCTCTGCCACCGTCTCCTCCAGATTCTCACTGACTGGAGATTGGGGCCAGGTTCAGAGGCTCTTGGTGGAATCCTCTCCATTAGTCAGTGGTCGCAAACATTTCTAGATTGACTCCTGTAGGCTCGGTGGCTACTGAATCTGAACGCAGGTGTTCTGGGCTGGCGATGGATCTGACTGTAAACTTGACCTCCTTTCCCCTCTCCACTCCCTCCTCTTTGGAACCCAACCGCAGCCTGGGCACAGAAGACCTGCGCTCTAGTCGGCCCTTTCTCTCAGTTTTCCGAGTGCTGGTCCTGACCTTGTTGGGCTTTCTAGCCGTGGCCACATTCACTTGGAACCTTCTGGTACTGGCCACCATCCTCAGGGTACGCACCTTCCACCGCGTGCCACACAACCTGGTGGCGTCTATGGCCATCTCAGATGTGCTGGTGGCTGCGCTGGTCATGCCACTGAGCCTGGTGCATGAACTGTCCGGACGCCGCTGGCAGCTGGGCAGGCGCCTGTGCCAGCTGTGGATCGCATGTGACGTGCTCTGCTGCACAGCCAGCATCTGGAATGTGACAGCCATAGCCTTGGATCGCTACTGGTCTATCACACGCCACCTGGAGTACACACTCCGTGCCCGAAAGCGCACCTCCAACGTGATGATCGTGCTCACCTGGGCACTCTCTGCTGTCATCTCTCTGACCCCGCTGCTCTTCGGCTGGGGAGAGACATACTCTGAACTCAGCGAGGAGTGCCAGGTCAGTCGTGAACCTTCCTACACCGTGTTCTCTACGGTGGGCGCCTTCTACCTGCCGCTGTGCGTGGTGCTCTTCGTGTACTGGAAGATTTACAAGGCTGCGAAGTTCCGCGTGGGTTCTAGGAAGACCAACAGCGTCTCCCCCGTTCCCGAAGCTGTGGAGGTGGGTGCTACAAGGATCGCTAAAAATACTTCACTTGCATCTGCAAAAGCTTTCTTCTCAGCACACCTCCCCCAATGTCTATGGAAGGTGAAACTCTCCAGTGTAGAAAGGTCTAGGCAAGGCAGGGCTCAAGCACCAACGACTCCCTTTGTTCTAAGCTCTGAAGCCCATCCAGTGTTGAGTGCCCGGTGGATCATTTTCTATGTGGAAAATGTGGGGTTTGTGGTCCATGTCCTACCGGGTCCACTTTGGCACTAAAGCTCTGTGGATGGACAACATCCCTTATAGAACATCTGGTGAAGCTGGTGTTTGGGGAACACTGGCTCAGTGCCCCCAAAAAATACCCTGCATTGGTGGTGAGGGTGTCCAAGGAGGGAAGGTTAGAGTGATTGACAGAATAGTTGCCACATTGCAGGCTCATCAGTTGTGTTGCGTTCTAGGCTATTTTGCAAACTATAATTTCTAGATTGTTGTCACTCTCCATTCTTCAGTGTCCCCCCAAGATTGAACACAACTCTTTACTGTGATCTTGGTGCTGTGTTTGTTGTCACTTTCTTGCCTTATGGTCTGTACCATTGCTTTCTGGCCTATTTACTACAACCTCATCAGGCCATGGGCACCACTGAGGACCACCTGGCCTATCTGCCTTCCCTTTGAGTAGTATGCAGGAAGAAAGTTGAGTTTCAGGACAGACAGCTCCCCAGCTCCCTAAGGCTGGCATTTGAAGCAGATAATCTCTACAAGGATGGCCCCCTTCCATCCTCTGCCCCTCCCCCTTAATTCCTGGAAATCTGATGCGGTGATTCAGTATTCTCAAGCTCCACGGAAAGGAGCCAGCTCTCTATCCACTGCTGAGGCCTCACTTGTGTATTGAAGTTAGATCAGACAAGTTTACAGTCTCTGTTTTCTGTTGTGGGCTCTGGACAGCAGAATCCTTTAACTGAGTGAGCTGAGTGTGTTATACTGGCTTGATGTAAAGCTAAGCCTAAGAATGGAAGTTATTTGTGAACACTTGTCAGTGTGGCTGCATTTCTAATCATCCGATCTAGGGCACAATGGGTGGAGGGAGGAAAGGAAGGGGCAAGCATCAATTTTGTTTTGTTTTTGTTTTTTTGTTTTTTAGAATAAAGAAGGAAAGGGATGACAGAAACTACCTGTACCTCCATCTAGAACAGTATCCTCCATCAAGGATGATGTCTGGACTGCCTGGTGATTTCATTTGAACTATTGTTGTTGCTGTTGTTGTTTTATTGTTGGTTTCTTGAGCAGGGTTTCTCAGTGTAACTCTGGCTGTCCTGGAACTCACTTCATAGACCAGGCTGGCCTTGAACTCACAGAAATCAGCCTGCCTCTGCCTTCCAACTGCTGGGTTAAAAGGCGTGCACCACCACTGCTCAGTGCCTGTTGCTTTCTAATAGCACAGGATTGCCCCACAACAAAGAATTTCAGGACCAGAATTCATAGAACTGAATTTTGGAAACTACCATACCTACCAGAGAGCCTGGAGCTAGGTTCTAAGTAGCCTTAGGCAACTGAAGCTTGGGCTCCACCTCTGGATTCCCTGGTGACAGAACGCTTGCTTTCCTTTGGAATTTAAATCACCATATAAGAAGGTGAAGGTTGTTGTATCTCTTGCCTGGCATTTCAAGCAGCCAAAAAGGAGCAGGAAGGGATAAACGACCCCCTAATGAGACCTTCCAGAGGCCTCTTCTCTGATGCAGCTCTTTTTGGCATCAGCACAGTGTAACCCTTCTGTTTTCTTCTTCATTGTATCTCTTTCTTTCAGACATTGGCTAAAGGCCAAATGTGCTTTCCCGGGCACTGCAGGCTCTTTCACTTTGTCTCTGATGCTCCCTCTCTTTTTGCCTTGGGGCTGCTTGCTAACGCTATTGCCAACAGCATGGCTTTCTCTCTTCTCGACTTCCCAGCCATTGGCAGCTGCAGCGATCCACAGCTTCTCCACCCTGTTGCTTTTCTTTTCAACTCTAATAAAACTGTCCCCAACTTCCTTTCTAGTCTGCTTCTAAATTCTTTTATGAATGAGTGATGAGACTGTGAACCTAAAAAGTGAGCCTCAGTTTCCCCAGGAACACAATTACCCACAAAAGTGACACTGGGAAATTGGGGTCCCCTTTGGAGGAGGGTTCTTGGTCTCCTTAATAAAATAATTTAAGAACAGACTCAAATGAAAACACAAAGACGATTTTAGCACTTAAAAGAAAATCCCAGAGGCAGGCAAGCCTTAAAACCTCAGCTGCAGTCCAGAGAAGGCGGAGAGGAAGGGAAAAGTCTTCCTTTTTAAGCCAGTGTAGTGGTCAGATGGAAGGTGGACAGTAGGCCACCAGATGGGGAGGAGGCTTTAGGAAGAGAAAGGAAGTCCAAAATGTCAGAGGGAGAAGCCAGAAGTGTTAAGGAAAGCACACTTAGAAAAGACACAGAAAAGAGCTCCGGGGCAGGGTAGGGCCTGGGGGAAGGAAAGCTCCTATCTCCAAGGTTTAATTACCCCACCTACCTCTGCAGCACCACTTAAAGAAGCCTCTGTTCCTAAGGGTGGTTTCTTGGCCAATTGAATGACCCTGCCCAACTCCATTCAGGCCCGAGACTGTAGTCTCCTGACTACAATTTTTGTTTGTTTGTTTATTTGTTTTGCATTTGTTTTTTGTTTGTTTGTTTTCTACTCTAACAATGGGGCATGCTGGGTAGGTTCATTAGTGATTGGGGGTGGGGTTAGTTACAGGTAGTGACATAAGATTGCCAGCCAAGGGAAGAAAGCTAACAGAGCTTTGATTACTGGGCTGGAGAGCATAGCTCAGTCAGTGTGTGTGCGCTGGAACTGGAGGGATGGCTCAGTTGTTAAGAGCATCACTGGCCCTTTCACATGGCTCACAACCATCTGTAACCGGAATTCCAGGGGATCAGATGCCCTCTCTGGCCTCTGAGGACCGCAGGCACAGACACAAATGGAGGCAAAACACTCAGATATTTAACAATTGAAAACAAACACTTTGCAAGTGCCCATGGAGGCCAGAAGAGGGTGCTGAATCCCCTCCAGCTCTCTGTGTAGCTGTCTATGGACTGATCTCTTAGAGCTGGAATTAGAGGTGCATCTCACCATACTGATGGTCAAGATTGCACGTGAGGCTTGAGCACGCTGTAAACACACTACCAACTGAACTAAATGTCTAACAGTACATTTTTTAAATTTTATGAGTACAAGTGTTTGTTTATGTGTATATCTGTGCACCACATGTGTGTCTGGTGTCTGGAGGCTAGGAAGGGGTACTAGATCTCCTAGAACTGGAGTTAGAAACGGTTGTAAGCTGCCTTGTGGACACTGGAACCCATGTCCTCTAGAAAAGGAATCAGTGCTTTTAACCGCTGAACTATCTTTCCAGCCCCTGTGGTACACTGGTAACAGTATAAAAGGAAAGTTTCTGGGGACTCTGATCCAGCAGCATAGGTGCATTGGGCTGCAGTTCCTCTTGCTGGTGGGGTGTCCATAGGGACCTCAGGCCCTGCTGTCTTTCGTTAATGCTCCAGCCTATAGTGCAAGTATTCTCAGCTATAGCCTCATCACGAGTAGCCACACAGCTTATTTGGAAACAGATTAAACTCTATGTGAGTCACAAGGATGAAAGAGGCCCTCCTCTCCTCTCACTGCTAGACCCAGCCCTCAAACCTTTGAGAAGTGTGCTACTTAGACACACATTAGCCTTTCATTTACTCTTTCTTTTATCACCCGGCACAACACACATCATTTTGTCTATTTGTTATTTGTTTGTGGTGGGGTCTTCCTATTCAACACAGGCTAGCCTGGAATTCCTTAGGTTGTCCTTAAACTTGAGAATCTCCCTTCCTTAGTCTCCAAAATGGATTACAGCACATACTAAACCCAGCAGCCAAGTATTTTATTAATGACAAAATTTCCTAGGTTTACTTTTTAAAATTTATTGCAAACCAACTTCCCTCTGCCTTTTAGATATCTTGTTTTTGTTTTGTTTTCATTATTTTACATTTTGTGTGTGTGTGCCTCTGAGCACATGTGGCAATCAGAGAACAACTAACCCAGAATTGGTTCTCTGTTTCCAACCAGACTTAGGTCTCAAGGTTAGTGGCAAATGCCTTTACCTGTTGAGCCAACCTGCCATTCTCAGATAACTTTTATTTTATAAAATTTTATAAATATTTTATTGTATGTGTAGGTGTTTTGCCTGTGTGTATATCTGTATGTATACCATGTGTGTGCCTGGTGCATGCAAAGGCCAGAAGAGAGTGTTGGATCCCCTGGAATTGGAGTTATAGACAGTTGTGTTCTGCCATACTGGTGCTGGAATCAAACCCAGGTTTTTTGGCTAAGCAGTTGAGTATGCATAATGCATACTTTTTTTTTTTTTTTTTTTTTTGAGACAGGATCTCTCTATGCAGCCCTATCCTGGAACTCACTATGTAGACAAGATTCTGAGATCTGCCTGCCTCTGTCTCCTGGGGGCTGGGATTAAAGGTGTGGGAGGCTCTTCACTCAGCTGAGCAGCCATCTCTCTAGCCCACCCTCAAACAACTTTTGTCTATCAAATGAGTTTTCATTCTATGGTGTGAGGGTTAAAGGTAGTTTAACTCGGTACAAACAAGCAGGGCATCCATAGTATAGACAGTTATCCTCTAAAGTTAGAAAGATGGGGGCTTGGTAGGTGATTATGGCCTCCTTGGAATGACTTTAGTGAGCAGATTTTGGATAGTGATTTTGCTTATCAGCTAATATGAGATACTGTTTTTTTTATGTTAAATTTTTATTTATTAATCAATTTTTTTTCTCCAGCCCAATCAGTTTCCCCTGCCTCCCTCCTCCCCTACCAGTCTCTCCCCGCAAGCTCCCCCATCCACTCCCTCTCCCCTCCCTTCAGAAAAGGGCAGGCCTCCCATGTATATCAGCCAGCTGTCCCATATCAAGTTGCAGCAAGACTAGCCCCCCCCCCTCCTATTAAGGCTGAATGAGTCAACCC